CCTCATCCTTATATTCTAGTCTCTTTGGTACAGAAAGGCTACTTTGTAGGACACCAACCCAGCCACAAAATCTTTGGCCTACAATCTATCCTGCCTACAAAATAGGCTAGGGCACCTGTGGAAAAGAAGTTGTGGGAGTGGCCAACAACGTCTGATCTGATCTAAGGCCTCCTCCATGAGCTCATACCTGACACTGCTTGGGTAACCAAGAACCAGAGACCTAGGGAAAGACCACTGATCTAATAATAGTAATAATAAACCAACAAAATGATTCCTAATGATATTCTGCTCTACTCATAGATCAAAGTCTTGTCTAGTAATCATCAGAGATATTTCCTCTCTGCAGATGGGAACAGATGCAGAGACCCACAGCCAGACATTATATGGAAAGGGACTAAATTGGAGGTTTCCATCAAATCCCTTAGAGATCAGGGAATCCTGGGGAAGAGGAGGAAGATGGTAAGAGCCAGAGGGGATAGAGAACAACAAGAGAACGAGGCCCACTGAATCGACTAAGCATGGCTCACGTGAGCTCTCGGAGACTGAAGCAGCAAGCACAGGCGTCTGTAATGGTCTGAGTATATGATACCCATTAGCTTAGTAATTTTATGAGACTCCCAACTTTGAGACCAGCCCTTCTGCCTGCTCTTGGGACCCTTTTCCTCTATTGGGTTGCTGTGTCCAACTTCAATGATAGTTTTCTCTTTACTTTCTTTTGTCATGTTTGGTTGTCATCTCATAGAAGCCTGTTCTTTTCTTTTCTTTTTTTTTTTTTTTTTTTTTTTGAGACAGGATTTTTCTGTAGTTTTGGAGCCTATCCTGAAACTCGCTCTGTAGATCAGGCTGACCTTGAACTCACAGAGATCCTCTGGGATTAAAGGGGCAAGGCATCACCACCCAATGCCTGTTCTTTTCTAATAAAGGACAGAAAGGGATGGAAAATGGGGAGGAAATGGGAAGAGTAGAGGCAGGGGAAACTATAATTGGATACACTGTATCAGAACTTACCTTCAGTAAAAGAAAAAAATTTTAAAAAAAAGAAAGAAAAGAAAATTGGTTTCCTCTGGGGGAGTCTGAGTGGGGAACAGATTGCTATTAGGCACGGGCTTCCCATCCGGCACAGATGCCAGCAGAGGAGGTTCTCAGCAGCAGCTGTGGCAGTTCCTTGACTCCCAAGGTCATGTCGAGTGTCTTAGTCAGGGTCACTATTGATGTGATCAAACACCAGAACCAAAAGAAGTTGAGGAGGAAAAGGTTTATTTAGTTTACACTCCCATATATCACTGTTCATCCTTGAAGGAAGTCAGGACAGGAACTCCAACAGGGTAGGAACCTGGAGGAAGAAGCTGAAGCAGAGACCACGAAGGGGTGCTTGCTCAGCCTGCTTTCTTATAGAAACCAGAACCAGCAGCCCAGGGGTGGGCACCCCATCAATCACTAATTAAGGAAGTGTCCTACATCCAGGTCTTAAGGAGGGAATTTCACAATGAGGCTCCCTCCTCTCAGATGACTCTAGCTTGCATCAAGCTGACATAAAACTATACAGGGCACAGGGCTTTTTACCTTTCTCCTCTCATTTTTATAATATTTTTATTTTATTTACATATTTTTATTCTTTCTTTTTTACTTACAGGCCTTTGAATATATGTTATTGCTTCCAGTTTAGTGTTTTTTTTCCTTCTATTATTATTATTTTATTATTTAAAAAATACCAATCCAAATTCCCATTCCTTCCCCTGCTCCCTCTCCTCTCCCTCTTCACTCCCTCCAGTCCTAAGAGAGGACAGGGCACCCTGCCCTGTGGAAGCCCAAGGCCCTCCCTACTACATCTAGGCTGAGCATGATATACATCCAAAGAGAATAGGATCCCAAAAAGCCAGTCCATGCAGTAGAGACAAATCCCAATGCTACTGTCAGTGGCCCCTCAGGCTACCCCAACTGTCAACCACATTCAGAATGACTAGTTTGATCCCATGCTTGTTCACTCCCAGTCCAGTTGGAGTTGATGAGCTTCCATTAGCTCAGACACACTGTCTCAGTGGGTGAACCCCTCATGGTCTTGACTTCTTTGCTCATATTCTCACTCCTTCCACTCTTCAACTGCACCTTGGGAGCTCAATCCAGTACTCCGATGTGGGTCTCTGTCTCTGTTTCCATCAGCTGTTGGATGAAGCCAGTTTAGTGTTTTATGGAATTCTTGAGTGTGTGAACAAGTAGGTCTCTGTTTCTTGGGATCTTTTTCTTTTGTTTGTTTGGTTCTATTCCAACATATTAGTTTTTGTTTATATTATATCATATCTTGTTGTTGTCCCTTAGAAGCCTGTTTGTTTTCTAATGTGAGACAGAAAAGGAGTGGGTCTGGAAGGGAGGGGAGGTGGGGGCAACTGGGAGGAGCAGAGGGAGGAGAGACTGTAATCAGGATATATTATGTAAGTAAAAAAACTATCTTTAATAAAGAAAAAAATTTAAATAAAGTATTTTAAATAAAGAACTGTGTGTGTGTGTGTGTGTGTGTGTGTATTCACACACAGGTACACACTGCACAGAAGTTAGGGTTAACCTTGGTGACTGTTCCTCAGAAGTCCTCTACCTTTGTTTCTGAAGCACAGTCTCTCTCCCTGGGCCTGGAATTCACAGTAGGACGGAGTGGCTGCCAGTGAATCCCAGGACCTTCCTGTCCCCACCTCTTGCACTGAGATTACAAACACTCATCGCCACCCGTGGCCACTGCACAGATGTGCAGATGACTGAAGCCGAGACCTTATGACTGAAGATTCTTGTTAACTCTTTTAATCCACATGAGATTTACTTTTGGTAAGGTTTGAGGTAGAGACATGCTGTTTATCTAGGCTAACCCTTCCACAATGACTTGTAAGGCTAGCCCACCACAGACTAAGATCCCTTCTTAGTCTTCAGTTTCCACGAGTGGCTCCTCAGGGTCTGCCAGGTAATCTTTTTACATTGATACTGATGGAATAGCTATGTAAAAAAGTTCTTGAGGGCTGAGGGATGGCTCAGCAGGCATGAGGCTCTGGGTTCCACTTGTAGCATACATGTTTAAAGCAGGGCATGGTGGCTTGCAATTCCAGCACCAGGGAACAGAGACATTACTGGCTGGACAGCACTTGGGAATCACAGGCCTTTAATCCCAGCACTAGGGATGTAGAAACAGGAGTGACATGACTGGGTGGAGAGAGGAATATAAGGCAGAAGGAGACAGGAGCTCAGTGCAGTCTGAGGACAGGATCACCCCTTCCGCCTGAGCGTCGGTAGAGGTTAAGGGTCTCTTTAGTGGCTGACGGCACTGCTTCCCTGATCCTTCAGCTTTCACCCCAATATCTGACTCTGGATTTTATTTATTAAGACCAATTAGAATTTATGCTACACCTCCACACAAACAAGGACAAATGCATACATGTGCACCTACAACACACATACACATACCACATACATGTGCACCTCCAATACACATACACACACCACACACGTGCACCTACAACACATATATAGTCACGTGTACTTATAACACACATACACATACATACACCACACACATGTTCACCTACAACACACATACACACACACATATATACACACATACATACATGAAGGAAGACATAAAAAAGTTAAAGTCACCTAATAACAATTTTCTCTAGTTAAATGTTTTGATTTAAAAGGTAAAGTAAAGATTCTATCAGAGTATGAGATTAATATACCTAAAGTTCCAATTACTAACTAAAAGGAGGAAAATATCAGGAATAGGCACAAACGACCTTTGCTCTATAAAAACTTAAGATGGTGTTTTCAAGTGAGAATTACAGCCAAAGTCAGCTGACTCACGATCTACAGGGAAAGCTAATACAGACTGTGTGGCTCTCATCCTTAATGTGCAACCTGAAAGGCTCAAGACTCTAAAATGTACTGACCACTAACATGACATCATAAGTGGAAAATTCCACATCTGACAGAAACGCTAAAAATACTGCTCAAGATCACCCTCAATACATGAAATATAAACATATTTTGTCTTTAGATTGTGTCCCATTACCAAGGTACCTGAATACACCACACACACACACACACACACACACACATACAAACTTCAAAATCTAAAAAAAATTCAAATATGAAACATTTTTGAGTGTAAACATTTCACATAAGGAATATTCAACCTGTGTGCATTGCTATTACATTTCCGAGGCCATAGCCAGCACCTCCAGTGGAAGCTACAAAAGACAGGCACCCCAAAGGAAAGACTGGTGATGGGATGGGAGGAGAAGCCATGTAATCCATCACTATCACAGCAGCATGGAGAATGGTAGCCAGTATGCTGAGTGAAAAAGTCATGGGCGCTGGAGACAAAAACAGACCAAATCCCACAGCTGTTTCCTAGCTACACGAACCTTACCAAAAGTGGCTTACTGTCACTTTGTGCCTCAGGACAACGGGAGGTAACTACATTGATCACCTGGCTTCAATTGGAAAGGATAATTTCCAAATACCCGGAAGGAGATCCGATAATCCCAGCCCACACCCTTGTGAGCAAGCCTGACCCAGAACCTCCCCGCCGCACTGCTTCCCAGACCCGCGACCTCAGAAGCTTCAGGTGATGCACTTTTGCCTGAGGTTGCTAGGTTTTGATATCATCTGTTACACAGCAACCAAAAAATAATACGGTACATGTAATAATTTGTCTATTAATTGATAGGCTAAAAGTTTTCTAAATATAGTTATTAAGACACCACCATGCACGCTAGATTATAGAGACTAGCGTGCTCGACACGTACAGCAGCTTACACAGCAGAAGAGCACATTCTAGATCGAACTTATTAAACCTAACCTCCGTCGGATGGAAGAGAGCCATAGAGATAAAAATCTAAAGTTCAGCACTTCTGGCCCTGGCCCAAAGTTCAGACTATATACTCTGGCTTTGATTTATTCCACAGTGTCTACGTGTCCACGGTATGTTTCAATATCAACAAAAGCACCTTTTATCCTACCTGAATGAGGCACTTGCTCACATCGCTAGCACAGAGGGCTTTGTTACAGCTCTGTGACACAGGGAGGCTCGCCAGGAACACCAGGGAGGCTAGGGTTAGCACAACATAGTGTGACTTCATGGTTCTTCAAAGAAGCCCCTCAGTAACTGTCAGGAAGCTAAAAACAAAACCAAACACACAAAAACCTTAACTCAAAGGCAAGTGGTAGGTCACAAAATCAAACAAGAAGAAAAAAAAATCCCAACATAAGCCAAGAATTAGTTGCTTGTGTCAAAAACGTTGAGGAATCTTTTGAAGATCATTCTCAAAGATTAAATATTCAAAACTTCAGGCTTGGGTGGCCATCCTTAATGAAACCTGGAATACCACGACGACACTGGCATGATAAAAAATTACAGTGAACATGGCTAGCGCCCAGCAATCTGCAAGCGTTGCCAACTGCAACTCAAATCTCAACTTCAGACTTTAGTCAAATTCAATCCCAATATTTAAATTCATATAAGAACTATTAAAACATTATGTGCATGTCTGTGTGTGCATGCACACTTCGGTTCTGGTGCTGCTGGAGGCCAGAAGACGGCGTTGTATCCCGGAGCTGGACTTAACAGGCTGTGTGGCCTGCCAGATGTGGGTGCTGGGAACTGAACTCAGGGCTAGAGGGACGGCTCAGCAGTCAAGAGTACATAGTTCCCAGGGCCCGTGTGGGGCAGCTCACAATCACCTGAACTTCATCTCCAGGGGGAGAGGAGCTGAAGCCTCTGACCTCCTGGGACACCTGCACACACATACACAAAATTGAAAATAACAAAAATACATCTTCAAGAATATCAATACTGTATTATTTTAATGCATTTTAAAGTCTCTGTGTATGTGTATATAGGTGCTGCTGGAGGTAGAACTTAGGGCCTCACCGTGTGTGAGGCAAGGTTTCTACCACAAACTATAACTTCTGCTCCAGTTTTTAAAATGATAGTATCAAAACAAAACTGCAAATGAAAATTACCCTAATGATCATCTCATTTTGTCAGAAAATACTTCAGAGAGAGAGGGAGAGAAAGAGAGGAGTGGAAGCCACAACCATTCAAATAAATGTACCAATAACAAATACCAATAAATTATTAATTGCATTAAGAATTGTGGGTAAACGTGAAAATACTCTTTCTGTTGGTACCATAGAGTCCTCCATTACTAAGGGATTATAGTACAAACAGAAAATAAAGGGGGAGGGAACCAACACAATTTTTCACAAGGGTTATAATTTGGGGTTGGCAAGTCGGTTAGGTGGGTAAAAGCATTTGCTAGTCAATTCTATTCCTCAAACTCCAAATGGAGTTTGTTGCCGCCCTCCAAAGCTGTCCTTTGACATACCATGGCACAGGTGCACAGGTGTGCAACACCTGTGCACACTAGTAGTCATAAAATAAAAACTTACAAGATATAATTTAAGGCTAAAATACAAATCCCCAATAAAATCAATGAAAATAAATATTAGCTGGATCTGGTCAGACATGCCTGTAGCCCCAGCATTTGGCAAACATGGCAGGAGGATAATGAATTGCAGGCCAGTTTTACTTCCAAATTAAATAAATTAAAAGTAAAGATAAAAATAAGAGAGAATGGTGTTTTAAGACTACTCGCTGCTCTTGTAGAGGGTCTGAGTTCGGTTCCCAGCACTCATATCTGGCATCACTCACATCTGCCTCTAAGTCCAGCTCCGGGAGATCCAACGCCCTCTTCTGGCCCCGAGCAGCACCAGGACGGAAATGTGCATACACACACAGATAGGCACATACATTTTTAAAAAAATAATAAAAACAAATCCCCTCTAAACAATAAACTACAATTCTAGCATAGGGAAGGAGGGTTAAGAGGTGGACCCTGCTGCTCAGAAAATGATGAGACGGCGCTCCACTCGGGGCTTTGTAAAACTCAAGTTTTGAAACAGAAAGTCCTGGCGCTCCTGACCGCGGGCACAAAACATTCCGCAGGAGACCGTTAGTAATCCAATTTTCTCGTTCGCTCCCCGCGCCGACCAGTCGTGTCTGTGGGCAACTTGCCCGCAGCTGCTGCGCCCCCGCAGCCACCGACCGCGGGGACCCACAGGCATCTCCGGCTTCCCCAAGCGTCCGCTCGCCGTCCCCCCGGGAGCCAGGTGACCCCGGCGTTCCTCGGAGGGAGGGGCGTCGAGCACCGGCGCCCGGACCCAGGGATCCCGGAGGCGGCGATCACCGCGGCCCTTTGTCCCCGCCGCTCGGGCCTCCCGGCACCCGCTCCCTCGCCAAGTGCCGCGGCCTGGCCTCCGAGCCGCCCTCCCGCTCGCTCGCGCACCCGCCCGTGCTCACCGTGGCCGCGGCCTCCTCCCGGCGGCCCAGCTTCCAAGCCGCTCCCGCGAGCTCCGGCGCCGCCAACACACAGGCCCGCCCGCCCCCCGGCCTCTCCCCGCCTGCCCGTCCGCCCGCGCCGGCTCGCCTGGCCACGCCCCCCGGAGCTCGGCCGGCCACGCCCTCTAGACCACGCCCCCAGGTGTGTGCACTTGGCCTGGCGCGGAGCCTGGACCCCGTCTGGTCGGCTGCCACCTGTTGGATCGCTGGCCTCTGGCTCCAGCAGATGTGCGTTTTAGCAACCACTTCTAAGAGAACGCTGTCTTCTCCCGCTTAATGGATGTAAGGAATGAGGCACAGACAGATGAGTGGAACAGAGCTGACGTTTGACATAAGAGGCGAGGTTCATTTTAAACACGTGTTTGTCTTGGGATTATTGGATAAGGTTCTGTCCCGTACTTCAGTCAGTAACTCATGAAAAATTTCTGAATCCTTTAAGTGCCTGGCTCTGCCCTTAAGTCAAAATGGAGAGAAGGCAACCATGAATTCTGGTCGGGAAGATCTCTAGGTCTAGGAAGGAGACCAACCTGAAGCCTCAGATGGAAAGGGAGTTCCAGAAATGCTGGCTCTATCGGTCATTTCAGCTTGTACTTTAGGAAGATGGGGTTTATTCCACCAATAGAACATAAATAAAGACAATCTACTATTCCATTTAGTTCTTTACCGCAACCTAGGGAATTGCTTTTCCAGCAGTATTCCAGAAACGTTGACTTGAAGCCCACAAGGCCCTCTCACTTCGGGAACAATGGCCTGGTGTCAAGCCCTCAACATAGGAAGAATGGTTTCCACTCTCCTTGACTTACCAGTCGGCGGCAGAATGGAAACAGGAGATTTACTGAGAAGAATAGAAATAGCTTACTAGCTAAGAAGTGGCTCGTGTTGTTATTTCATTTTTGTATAGTAAGTATAGGCTTTAAAAAAATGGGGGTTGAGGAGATGGCCCAGTAGGTAGAGTGCCTGCCACACAAACATGAGGACCTGGGTTCAGATCTGTAGTGTTCATGTAAAATCCAGGCACAGCAGTTGATGATTGAAATCCAGGCTGGGGAAGAGGTGGAGACAGGAGGATTCCTGGAGCTCACTAAAGCTGCAGGTGCAGGAGAGTTGTTAACGGTATGCCTTTGGAGGTTTTCTTTGATTACTGTTTTTTCAAGTCAGAATTCCATTAAGTAATTCTGGCTGTCCTAGAACTTGCTAGGTAGAAAAGGCCTACCACTGCCTCCCAAATTCTGGGATTAAAGATGTGCACCAGTATGCCTGGTGCCTCACGTCAGGACAGAGATGGAGCTGGGTCATAGGCTTCATTGTGTGTCTCTTCTTAGCGCATGGTCATATTGGACACATCTCTTTTCTCCGCCTTTCATGCTTTTCTGATTCTTTAACTAGTGTTTGGAGAACAGATGGCCAAGGCTAGCTTGTTAGGGCTGCCAGCGTTCAGGACTTGATACCAACAATTCTGGTAACTTGGGGGGTGGGGAGATATATCAAATGACTTAACAGAAATATGACAAGTGGAGGGAAGATCTTTATGTACCAATCACTGAGTTAGTCATTGGTTATTGCTAAACCTGTAAATCTGGATAAATAATCTAATGCCCAAGTGTCTTCATCTGTGAAATGGAGATTTAAAAACATGTATGCAGATGTAAGTTTCTGTCCTGTTCAGTCCCAACAAAACACACAGAATCTTATATTTATTATAAACTGGTTGGTCTATTAGCTCAGTGATGGAGGAAGGTCATTGGTTAATTAATAAAGAAACTGCTTGGCCTGATAGGTTAGAACATAGGTGGGTGGAGTAAACAGAACAGAATGCTGGGAGGAAGAGGAAGTGAGCTCAGATGCCATGCAGCTCTTCTCCAAGGCAGACACGATGAAGCAAGCTGCCAGGTCAGACATGCTGAATCTTTCCCAGTAAGACTGGTGCTACACAGATTACTAAATATGGTCTAGGCAAGATGTGAGAATTAGCCATTAAGAGGCTAGAATTAATGGGCCAAACAGTGTTTAAAAGAATACAATTTGTGTGTTGTTATTTCGGGGCACAAGCTAGCCAGGTGGCCAGGAGCTGGGTGGCAGAAACGCAGCCCACTGCTCCTCACAACATCTCAGGCTTATTATTAGCTAGCTCTTACAACTTAAATTAACCCATAATACTTGTCTATGTTTAGCCACATGGCTTGGTATCTTACTCAGTAAGGCATTCTCATCTTGCTTCCTCTGTATCTGGCTGGTGACTGCAGACTGAGCCTTTCCTCTTCCAAGAATTTTCCTAGTCTGGTCACTCTGCCTATATTTCCTGCCCGGATACTGGTCAATTGGTGTTTAATTAAACCAATACAAGTAACAAATCTTTACAGGATACAAGAGCATTCTCCCACAGCACATGTATTTGGTAAGAGAATGTTTAGAGCTAAAAGAGACCATGTCAACTGCCCAGCACACAAGCACCTGTCTTCTGGCCGCTTGTGTGAACTGAGGAGGAAGAGGGATGAATGGGCTTAGCAGAGTATGGGGGTGAGGTACCTTTCCAGTCTATAACCGCTACGAGGTATCCACATGGAAACCACACTGAGTAGTCAGATATGAAGTCTTACTCTTAGACAAAGGTTTGGATTAGTGATTAAAACGTAGGGGTGTCAGTGACACTAAATACCACATAAGGGGTGAGTTCCAGAGGAAGTTCCAGAATGAAGGTAGAAGACAGAGTGATGGGGAAGTCTCTAGGGTAAAGACTGCTGAGAAAGAGGAGAAAGAGATGCTGTCCTTGGCCCCATGCCCAACCATCTCCAATAGAGAGAGGCATAACACAGAAGCCCTGAGGCATTCTATGACAGGCCAAAATAATGAGGCTCAGATTGTCCACTTCTCCAGCCTTGAGGTATCAACTTACTGAATGTCCCATTTCTTAGCTCATTGCAAGTTTTTTTCTTTTCTTTTTCATCTTTTCATGTATAGGCATGTGTCCATGTATGGTTACATGTGGGTGAGGGCACGTGTTTCTGTGTGCATGTGGAGGCCCAAAGGCGATGTCTGAAATCTTTCTCGATCACTCTTCCATCTTCATCTCTTATTATTTTGTCCCCATCCCCCACCCCGCCTGAGCTGAGGACCAACCCAGAGCCTTGTGCTTGCTAGGCAAGCGCTCTACCACTGAGCTCCATCCCAACCCTTCACTTTAGCCTCTTAAGGCTCTCTCAGTGAATCTCAGAAATCCCTCATTATTACGGCTCATTTTCCTAGGCAGCTTGCTGGAAGGCTCCCTTTTCTGCGCCTTCTGGGACTGGAATTACAGGCAGGCAACTGTGCCAAGCGGTAAAGGATGGATTCTGGTGACCTGAATGTGGGTCCTCTTGCTTGCACAGAAAGTGGCTTTAAAAACTGGATCCTCTCAGCCCCACAAATTGTTCTTTTAAAACCAGGCCTGCATGAGGAGGGAAAAAAAAAAAAAAAGGCAAGGCAGAGGGATGAATTCCACTGGAGACAAAGCCCTGAGGGCAGCTGCACTGATTCATCTTCTTTTGCCTTTGTGATGGGCGTTACATGACCCTGGGGTTGTGCAACGGCGGTGGATGAACCTTCTGATATTTCGCCTGGGAGCTGGTTACGGAAATGCAATCTCTGACATTTAACGCCAGGAGCGTGAGCGTAATTGTTTGGCTTTGAAGCAGATGCAGCAGGGTAACAGCAGACAATGGATCCAGCTGAATTTGAACCAGGAAGAAGAGGAGTGGCTTTGATGAGACTCCAATAATAACAGCACTAATACAGCCAGCCTGCATCAGTGGAAGGGTCAGGAAGGGTCTCCCAAAACACTATCCAGTCACTCCCCAGAGAGCTTCCAACCCTGGAAGCATCCAAGAGAGCATCCAGGGGCCATGCAGCCCAACTCCCGCAAAGGGTGGTTGAGAAAGGGGAGTGAGGAATGCCCGAGAGCTTGTGGCCAAGACAGCAGTGGTAGTCAGGTCCCAGTGTGGATATGTTCGCCGAGCACTCGCTTACTGAGGGCTCGCTGTGGAGGAGGCTAGACCTGATGGTACAGAGACAAGGATATCTTGGAGACAGCTACAAACAAGCAAATAGCCGTGGAGAAACCAGAAGAAGGAGGATGTGGTCAGGCCTCCAACAAAAACATCAACACTCTGTGGTAAAACAAGAGGCCGGCTGGCTCTAACTTGATTCTTAAGCATTCACCGTAGTGTCTCTCAGCCTTCTCCACTACGATCTGGGGTCTGGCATTATAGTCTGTTCTCTGGACTGAACCCGAGTAAGGCTCTGTCCTCAAGTCTACAGAGAGTGGTCTCTGTTTTTATCTGTATCTAAAATCCTAAATCACAACAGAGAGTGGAGTTAGAGCACAGGGGTGCATCCTATGCTGGGAACCTGAACATTCATGGTCTCCATAGCCCCATGTCTGGTGCAAGATAGGTGTTCAAGTGTTTAATTAAACTAGTATCTCCACAAAGAGATGTATGGATCTTGCCCAAATTTGGAAAACAACGTAAGCTAATTAAAAATGAAGCGGGAACAGGAAAACAACAACCTGGTTATAGGACCGATGCCAAAGAAAAGTACAGAATTTTAATAAGTTAAGTATCCCTGAGTCTCTGGTTAAGTGATACCCAGCTTACCTTTCAAATCATAAAGCAAAGAAAGCCAGCCTACAAATCACAATCCCAGAGAACACAGACAACAATGTGGACAATAAGAGAGACTTACATAGATCTAATCTTCACGGGAAGTAGAAAAAGACAAGATCTCCTGAGTAAATTGGGAGCATGGGAACCTTTGGGGAGGGTGAAGAGGAGGGAAGAGGCAGGGAGGGGAGCAGAGAAAAATGTAGAGCTCAATAAAAATCAATAAAAAAGAGCCGGGCGGTGGTGGCGCACACCTTTAATCCCAGCACTCAGGAGGCAGAGGCAGGCGGATCTCTGTGAGTTCCAGGCCAGCCTGGTCTACAAGAGCTAGTTCCAGGACAGGAATCAAAAAGCTACGGAGAAACCCTGTCTCGAAAAGTCCCCACCCCCCCAAAAATAATCAATAAAAAAAACTCACCCCAGACAATTTCATTAGT